GCTAACCATAGACATCAGTTCACATTTCCATTCACTTTCGAGACCTGAATGTGCTGAAGAGAAAAAAGTTCAGCTTGGTGGAACTTGTTATCATTCTTTACTGAACCAGAGAAGCAGGAATCTGCAGGTTTGAAGGTTCCAAGGGTGTGTTCATTTTGACAGTCTGGACGAGTGTCGACTTCCGTTTGGACTCCGCAAACAATGAGATCTTGATGATGTTAAGGAGTCTACCTCAGTGGATGTGCTGCGACCAAACGCTGCATCAGGGGGGGGGGACCTGCTTCCCTCTGCTCGCCTCTGGATTACCGTCACGACCTGCAGCAGCCAATCAGATCCCCCAGAGTGTGTTGACTTGGTGACAGAGGTCAGAGGGTTCACTGACCCACAGAAGGAGGAGTACTTCAAGAAGAGATTCAGAGAGGAGGAGCAGGCCGAGCGAGTCATTCGCCTCATCAAGAAATCAAGAAGTCTTCACATCATGTGCCACATCCCAGTCTTCTGGCTGGATCACTGCTACAGTTTCGGAGGATGTTTGAAAACCAGTGAAGAAGAACAGCTGGGCCCAATACCCTGACTGAAGTACATTCAGCTCCTGTGTTCAGTCCAACTAAGAACCTCAACTATGATGGAGGCTTGAGACAGAATCCAACTGGATCCAGAGGGTGGGAAGATGATTGAGTCTCTGGGAAGACTGCGCTTTTAAGCAGCTGGCAGGAAGGAACCTGATCTTCTATGAATCAGACCTGACGAGTTGGCATCGGATATCAGAGGCAGCCTCAGTGTAGCTCAGGAGTGTTCACGGCAGATCTTCAAGGAGGAGAGGGAGGCGTACCAGGGCAAGGTGTTCTGCTTCGTCCATTGAGTGTTCAGGAGTTTCTCGCTGCTCTTCATGTCCATCAGACTTCATCAAGCTCTGGTGTCAACCTGGTGGGTGATTAGCAACATCCGTCCAATGTTCTAAACTATTTAAAGTCCGAACCTAAACTAAAACATCCCACCAGTCTGCTGTGGACATGGCGCTTACAGAGTCCAATGGACCTGGATCTGTTCTTGCGTTTTCTCCTGGGTCTTTCAGCTGCGGACCAGCTAGAGTCTTGCTACAACACGTGGTGACCAAAACAGGAAATGGATCAAGACAATCAAAAACAGTGCAGTGATATCAAAAAGAAGATCGGTGGAGGATCTTCCTCCAGAGAGAAGTGCAAGCCTGTTCCAAGCTGTCTCAATGGTTGGCTTTGCCTTCAGCCCAGTCCAGTGTGAACTTCTGCATCAAGACTGTTTTCCCGATGCCAGCTACTCCCTTCGTCATCACTGTTCTGATTGGTTCATCTCTTCCAGGTGAGGGTTTAAAGATGTCTTCTTGTCTGATTGTTGTTTCTGGTCTGTCTGGTTTCCTGGATGCTGTTTCAATCTGTCTGACCTCATGTTCATCATTGACCTCTGCAGTCCCTCCCTCTGTGATGTAGAGCTCTGTGTAGATCTGATTCAGAAGGGTTGGGTTTCCTGCTTTTGCAATCCCTTCAAACACACACTGAAACTTCTTCTGCAAATTTGACCTGAGTTTACGTTGGCACAGTCCAGAAGGAGTTCCTGAATGAACAAATGACACATGAAAGCAACTGGCTACAGTACATCTGAGAAAAATAAACATTGATGAATTTTCCTGCTCTTTCAAATCTGTTCAGCTCATTGGTGGCTTCCGTGTTGAGCTCAGAAAAATTCATAGATCTGATTAAAATATTCACATATTTTTAGAAACTGTTAAAAGCCTCTTACTGCTCTGCAGTAGGTCTGCCAGCTCCACCTGCTTTATTCTCCTCAAGAAATTAAGTGTGACCTTCAGAAATGCTTCTCTGCTACTCCTCTGCTCCTCCTGCTCACTGTCCACCTCCTCATCCACCATTTGTCTCTTGAATGGTTCAGAGTAATCTAGACTCAGAGTCCTCTGGAACCTCTTTAACTCATCCCTCACAAAACTGACAATCTTCTCCTCAAGCAGCTGGAACATAACAATATAAACAATATAATATCACACAAACAGTTGTCTTTATAAACATATAATAAAAACCCAGATCTGTGCATTGAGTGTTTAGAAGTCTATTACTTCTTTCTGTATGTCGAGTCTGGTGATGCATGTCAAATATCTCAACACTCTGTTGTACTTTAGGACCAGAGTAATATTTAATGTTTGGTTTGTGTTGTTTTTATTTAGCAGCTGGCTTTGTACATTTACTCACCATGAATATAGATTCCAGGTCAGTTTGTTGCTGCTGAGCAGAATGACCACCAGGAACTTCTGAGCTCTCCTGAACTCTTCTTTTAGATCACATAATGACACCCACAGCATGTTAAATGAAATAGACCGAGATGTGATCAAGAATGTTGGACAGTAACAAAAACATTCCAATAATTATGTTTGAGAACGAGAGATATTGTCTGATTTATTCCACACATTATTCTTCCTTGTAAAAACCTGGCGATTTAAGACAATTTGTAGCATTCTTTACACTTTAAAGGGCCAGTGTGTAGAATTTAGTGGCATCTAGTGGTGTAGTTGCAGATTGCAACTCCTTCGCCCTCCCATTCCAAGCACAAAGGAGAAACTACAGTGGCCAGAAAACTTGCAAAAAATGCGACTCATGAAAGGCGACCCAAGGCATCTGTAGGTAACATTCTAAGCTCATTCTAGGCTCATTCAAAGGTAACAAAAACACAAAGATTCTAACTTACAGGTGATACGCTAATGAAAACATAGTAAAAATTAAAAAAAAGACTATATTTAATTGTGTCAACTTACTTTGATTCAGAAGAGTGTTGTCCTTTAAAATCAACAGAACGTATCATGGACCGATCACTCTTCATGGACACACAGCTGGGTACAGGAGAGTGTGTTCTCTGCACCTGTTCTGGGCTATAACACAACACACACAGAACTTTGACTGTGAATAATGAGTTTTGAGTTCTGACACAAAAAACAGTTATGGGCAGTTTGAGACCCTTATCCCACCGCTGAGCTTTCCTTAGAAAATACGAAGGTAGATCACATAATGACATATGCAGCACATTAAATGTGCTGTGCTAATGATGAATTCTCATAGCAACATGGCATAAACACTATAGACTCAAAGGTCCAGTATTTACAAGGATCTCTTGTCAGAACTATAATATTCATAAGGGAGTTGCGATCTGCAACTATACCACTAGATGGCACTAAATCCTATACATTGGACTTTTTTAAGAATTATAATGTATTATTATGAATGAACTTTAATACAGTTCTCTAAAAGATTGCGTTATTAAATTGAATGATGTCAACTTACTCTGATTCAGAAGAATGTCCTTTAAAATCAACAGAATGTATCATGGACCGATCACTCTTCATAGACACACAACTGGGTACAGGAGAGTCTGGTCTTTGCACCTGTTCTGGGCTACAACACGACACACACAGAATCTGTGAATAATGAGTTTTGAGTTCTGACACAAGGAACAGTTATGGGCAGTTTGAGACCCTTATCCCACTGCTGAGCTCTCCTTAGAAAATACAAAGGTAGATCACATAATGACATACAGGCTACATCACACACAGAGCTTAGTTAGTTTGGGGCTCCAAAATGAAAAACAGTCATTCACAGAGATCCATATCTCACCTCTGAGCTTTGGTCCGGCTGCCATGTTCCCCACACAGAGTGGTTTTAGAGGGAGGGACTCCCTCCTCTCTGTCCTCACCCTGATTCATCACAGTGCCGACACCTTAACACAAACACAACACATTATTCCATGATAATGGAAGGATGCCAATGTCGCCGAGGTACTAAAGACAGGGAGAACATGATCTGAAACATCAATGTGGCTTGAAACCCGTTTTTGGCCACTTCCTGTAGAGAGCATAGGCAGGTTGTGTACAGTGACCCACATACAGGAACTACCATAACAATTGAATGTAGGTTATATTTTACAGGTATCAGCTTTTCTTACTTTGAAGAACTTCTCACATGAATCCACTACATAAATAAACCCTGGAAGAAAAGTACAGTATTTATTGATTACAAGCATGCAGTTGTGGCTTCTGAACACTAGAGGTCATTATAACGCTTTACCTCACCTACATATAGCATTGTCCAATGATACAACTGTTTTGAACCTATTTCACTCATCTTGCATATGGGAACTTGTCCTTAAGAAGGAATCTCAAGCTTTATTATTTGCATTGTTCAGTTCTTCCAGTTCTCTTGTATGCCACACACAATAAGAAAACAGGAAAATTGAGACAACTAAAAAACCTTTTTTATTTTGTAAATCTAATGGGAAAAGGCATCAACAAAATAGGATTAATTCGCATAAATGGCCTTGTGCAACTGCAAAACAATAAAAAAAAAAACTGTAGCACACTGACTTACTAATTTTGACAAACTGTTGATCTGAATTCACTGTATTAATCTATTTTTATTCACTTTTTTATTATTTATCTCTAACTTTATATATTTATTTTTTAACTCGAATTGTCCTGAGGTTTTACGCAACACAATGTGATCAATCATGTTGATCAAATATGGTAAAGCAATTTAAGATACAACACAATAGATAACAAAATACAGATAAAAAAATAAAAAAATAAAATAGAAAAAAGCTGCAGTAACGGGCTGCCAGTCCCGCGGCGCCATCTTGGAAAACTATTTACACACTAATCTTCACCTGAAAACGAAAGTGAAGTGAACTTTTTTTCTTTTCTATGATTTAAGCGTTGTATTTTTATGAATGTCCGTTTTCCATAATTTAAAAAACTAATGATGATGATGATTAAACTACTCAGAAGTAACTTTTATAAATAAGTGTTTAAACCTTTAGTAGTATGCATACTTACAGTTGTACATCCATTGGCACTAGTTAGATATTTATCTGACATTGCGCACAAATTGTGTACAATAATATCGGCTATAGCGCCTCATTTATCTCATTATTCAGTCGGAAAAATATTCCTTATTAACCATAACTTCCCAGACCACCGATGTGGTGGCTGTTTGTTTCAGTTTTTTTAATGACAGTGAATTTATTAAAAGATTAAAAACTGAAAATGTCTGACTGACCTTATACAGGAGGAAAGAGCAGCTCTGTCAGTGATGATGAACCGCCAGTACAAAACAAACCTTTAGTTTACTGTTTCAGCTTCTATGGAGTTATTTGTTTACACTGAACACTGTACAGGGCACGCCGTTTACGTCTGGCCGATGAGATTGGTCCATGGCAACGCCCTCTTATCACCTGTGCAGCTTACATCTCTCGAGGTTTCGTTAAGGGAGTCGCCTGCATCTAAAATCCCCATTTTAACAACAGATGTCAAATACATTTACAGTCAGTCCTTCTAGTAAATACAGTTTGTTCAGTTACAGCAATATTTTTCATGTGCGTTTCTGTAATCGGTCGGTTAAATTCGTTACACATTAAAACCGGTGCCTTTAATTATTCTGTTCGTTCCCAAATACGAGACAGTTATCACACAATGAGGAAGATTTTGTGGTCCTCTCAATTGAAAGTGAAAAAGTAACTGGATCGAAGGTGTCTAGAAGGAGAGGTTCTGCTGCTGATACAGGAACTGTCTCTCTCCTTTTTTCCTCCCTTGCTTCTTTCCGCTGGAGGTTCCTCCGCAGACTGTCTCCACTCTCTGCCCGCATATTGCACTCTGCACCGCGGCTACAAGAAGCTGAACTGCCCCCCTCTCTGTCTGTGTGCTTTTCTCATGACTGGTGCAAAAATAAAGTTTCAGAGCGGGTCTGTAAATATGATCGACACAACGTGAGGTTGTATTTATATTTTAAACGTGCAACAATGTCGGACCAACAATGGCCTCATTGGAAATGTTGGCTGGTTGAGCCACAGAGAGGTTAAAGGTCCCAGATCGTAATGTTCCATTATTCCCCTGCTGCTGCTTCAGGGATTCAAACAAACACTAACTTCATAGGAGTTCTTTTTATTTATTTATCACAGCCTCTTTGAGGTGTTTTCCCCATTATTATAAAGTTCAAACCAAGACGTCCAAAGTAAACACAATATATAAATGAAGAAGTCAAATATTATACAGCCAATGTACTGTATGTCAGGACATGATCCTAATGTATAACACAAACCTCCAGCAGCACTGCAGCTCTCTGCAGCACCGAGGCACAGTGTGTACTGCATCTGCATATGAGCTCATTCACTCTTCTCTGTCATCTCTCATAGAAAATAAAATTACAAACATCCCGGTCAGTCTGTCCTCATCCTCACCTTCATCATTTCTCTCAGGAGAGCTCAGTGGACCGACCAGGCTGAACAGGACCAACACCAGGTCAATTAAAAACTTTGCTTTACGAAAAATAAAATAAAAAAAACATTTGCAAAGCCACAAATTAAATTCATCCATAAGAAGTGTTTTCCATGTTGATTCTCTTATCAAAACATCTTTGTTTGCCCCTGATCAGCTTGGATTTGATGATTTAGATGAAAATTTCAGCTGCTTTAAACATAGATCAGCTGAGTACTTAAATAATGTGTCACATATGAGCTCAGTCAGATGAAATCTCTGCATCTGACCCTTCTGCTTCCCATAGACGGCATATTTAGGCTTCAGTAGTTTTCCAGGCTTGTATCTGGAGCTGTTGTCAACCGGTGGTCAGCTGGTGGCTACGCACTCTGCACAGCGCTCTGTGGACTCGAGGACTCTGCAACGACAACAGCACCACAATGACATAAAACAATAAACAATATTAATAATAAACAACACATATCAGCTGATCACAAGATGTATTTGTGTTACTGTCAGCCAGTAAGAGACACGCAATTGCAGTGTGTAACTACAGAAAGATGTTTGAGGTTATTTAGATACAATATCTCCATTTATACAGTCGGCCTGTTGCCATTTGTTACATAACTAAAGGACACAGAATGGGGCAGCATTGTTGTTGTTGCCATTAAGCCAACTGTGGAGTTCAGGGGAAAATGGGGAAGCCAGTCTGATGGTACTCTGGCACTGTTGTGTGTCACACTTCACTTCCAGTATGCAAACATGTTATCGTGTTAAAAGTCCAACACTGGGGCAGTATTATGCCGGTGTTGTCTGGTTCAGTGCAAACTAGCAAAGCCAGTTTGTCCACCAGAGAACCGAAAGTTTATTTTTGTTGCCCATGCTAGTCAGTTTGTTAGTTCAATATAGGTAAGTTCATATCCAGATAACTATACATATCGGAATGTAGCACATTTTTTGTAATTCTATAGTTTATATAAAAAGTCTACATGGAAAGGCCTATTTCTGATATTTTGAATTATGTACTTTACAAATAAAATTTACTTTTTGACAATTTTATTTGATTATTTTTCTCCTTTTAAAAATAGCCTTAGTTCACATTTTTAATCAAACAATAAAGAAAATATCAAATATTAATATATAAGATAAAAAGGTAGACAGGAAACACTTTGCAGCTACACTGACCTACAAAGCCTGACTGCAGTAACTACTTGAAGGGTCAAACTAAGGGAAAAAAAAAACATTGCAAAAACACAGTGCAGCAACTACGATGTTGTTTTCTTTCACATTTTATATTGTTTTCATTTAACAAAAAGTATTTTGACATTGATTTTGTTCATTGTATTCAACAGTATTTAACAACTCAACTTATGGATTTGTGCAAGAAATTTGACTTTAATGAAAAGCAGAATCATTTCTTTAAAAATATATATATATATATATTTATACAGTCCAATTTTATGTCTCACTCTTCATCCGCAGCTCTGCTAGCAGTTTCGTAGCATCAGTGGGCAGTTTTTATCAGGATGTCTGTCTTCTTCTGCCTCCCAACCACATTCACTGCAGGCCTGAGTTGCTCAGAGATGTCAAGAGTGGTCTTCATGAGGGAGTCCAGTGGTGTGAATTACTCCTGATCACCCACATGATTGGATCTCTGCCAGGTGAAGCAAATACTTCAGCCTTGGTGAAGCTGGTGTTGCTGTTCCTTACTGCTTCGTATGAGCACTGGTGGTGTGCAGTAAACTCCTTCTACATCAGCTGCACAATGGGTGAAATATGTGACAGAGGAGTTTGAGTTGAATTCAGTCTTTATTCTGGTGACAGCAGCAGCTTGTTGAATGTATCTCTGTTATGTTTAGCAGCGCTCCAAAATACACAATATATTCAGTGCATGTTCCCATATTACAATGTCACCCAGTCAGGTCCAGTCTCCCAGAACACAGACAGCTCTCGTTTTAGTTTACTCTGTTACTATTAATGGTTCATTTCCAGGAAAAAAAAAGGTCAGGATTCTGGATTTGGGACATCTGGTCACCCCACTCTGGAGGTGTCTTAGACTGGGGGCGTGTTCTCATCTATAAGGGCTAACTGTTGGATTTACTGATTCGTTGTGTTTGTAACTTGGGGAGGAATTGGCTTTATTGGCTGGGGCAGGTCTTCTATGGTGTTCTTTGGGTGATGTCGAGCCTGATAGGGAGCTGTTCCCGATGACTGCTAGGATGAACCTGTCATTTTTTGGATGGTATCCCAGAGTTGTGAGAAAGAATGTCTTGCATACCTCTTGTAACTCACCCAGGTCATCTCTAAGATGGTAAAATATGGACTTGTTACGTCTGCTGGGACCAACAGATGTCAAACGGGCAATCTTGCGTTGAGAGACCCTGTTGAGAATGAATGTTACCTTCCTTTGGGTGGTCATGTTCCTGTACGTGGTGTGCTCTGCTTTCCTCATTTTTTCTGTTATTTTGTCCCAGCATTTCTTCCGACATGTTTGGCGACATGGTTTCTCCTGCTTGTGTTTTTTTCGGGTCTGCTGACCTCGTTCCTCCTTAGGTTTATGGGGATGGGTGTCCCTGTCAGACGTATCCCAGCTCTCCTGCTCTTCACTGAACTCAGACGTATCTCCACTCTCCTGCTCTTCACTGAACTCAGATGAATCCCCACTCTCCTGGTCTTCACTGAACTCAAGCTCATCAGGTTCATCGCCAGGCTTAAATTCAGCTTTAAGGGATGCAGACAATTCATCCATCGTCTGGCTGGCTGGAGGAGCTTTCTGTACTGCAACAAAAGAAGTAATAAAAGATTATCATTATCATCAATATTATTATTATTATTATGCACACCAAGAGAACCTACAGGGAAACATCTCCACTCTGTTCAATATTAATTACATTTATTTTTATAGGCAAGAACAATTAGGTCTATGGTCAAACAAATGTGTGAATAGGCCAGCAATAATAAATACACTTGCATCCATTAGAATTTGGAGGAAAAATAATATTTCTAGTCATGTTTTAGTGCCCAAACAAACAGGACATTGTGTTATTAAGATACTAATTTAAGCATACAAATATGTTAATGCAAACAATTTATATTCATCTTTAGCTTCACTCAGGGCACCATTTATAAGTTAGCTGCAAACTGACCAGTATTCAGATCATTTGGTTGTAATGGGGTTATTTCCCAGCTCCTCCATGAAAGCTTAATTTTCCTGAAACCATCCAATGTATCTAATAACAGCCTGTGTTAGGATGCTCTACATGACTCAAATGTACCACTAGATGGTTGGATTAACACGGGGGCAGTTTGTTTCATTATCAACATTTATTTTTTTATTATAATATGGGTATGAGTATTGAGTATTTGTCAATGGCAACATTTCAGAAACAGGTATTACAATACAAACAAAACATTGTTTTGCCCTCCAGGCTGATTGGTCAGTTCACAAAAAGTGACAAGTGCATCGACTTCGAAAGTTGAACACGGGTCAACAAAAGGCACCGAATAGTCAAACCTCTCTTTCTCCCACTGGGATCAATAAAGGAACATTTTCTCTCCTCTATTATCTTAGTATCTAAACAGCCAACCCCAAACCTTGCTAATGAATCCCTGTTGGATTCTTTCTTCAGCTGAGGAAGACTGGTATTGAGGAGGAGGTTGAGGGTTGGTGCAAAATCAAAGTGATGACACATCTCTCTTGCGCAAAGTGGTTAGTCACACAAACAGCCAAACAAACTGAATGTAAACAGAAATACACTATTCCCTAGCAGCACAGTTGTGTTGCTCGATGGCAGCTAACAGCAGGGCGAATCAACATAAGTGTGCATGCTCACTTCGTCTTGTAAATTACAACAGACAAGTTGTCTGTCCTTTTAAAAATCAGCATTGTGTATCCGTATGATTCACATGAATCAGATTTTCCGGTCAGAAAATCTCACACGTAGTTTTTGGTTTAGTCTTTGCCAACTATAACCGCCTGGATATGGACAATATCTTCTTGTTGGACAATGATGAGGAAGAAACTGAAGATAATATTCATGCTATTAGACAAAGAGAGCGATCACTGTCATGGCTGTTTGATTGTTATGGGACAACTTGATACATCATGCCTTTCAAGTATATATATATTTTTTTTTTCCTCCCATCGCTGGCTGCACTAACATTGCCAGGTTAACAACAAAACATAGATGACATGGCATTGACAATGATGCTACATTACACTAGCTAACTAAACGTCGCCTGTAAGTCAGAAAAACAGCGAGGCTGACAGGTATTTTATATTGTGATGGCTAGTTTCTCAATGCTTAATGTCATTGTTACTTACCATACTCTGGGAATTGTCTTTTCAATGCCAGTTCCATCCTCTTTCCCCTGGATAGTGCCATCTCAAACAGATTTGTTGTGTAATGTTAGAAGAGTAGAGCACAAAAACTGCCGGTAGGATCCCAAAGCAGACCGCAGTATATGGTGTTAGTTTAATCAGCGCACAGTGACTTCATGTAGTCTTTACTGGTTTCTGCACCTGGTTACAGACGCCTCACTGCACGGTGAGGCTCCACTCGTCTCACTTGAAAGATCTTCTTTTCTTTTGGCTAAGATTTTCACCCCAGTCAGGTTCCCAAGTGAGCTGAGGTGATACTAATGGTGGAGTGAAAATACCGCTGTCCACTGATCAGTCGGGGAGAATCGTCACTTGTGAGACACGGAGCAACCAAAGCCGTTTCATCGTCCACGCTCTGATGTAGGAGTTTTTTCAGCAGTCTTTTGTTTTTCTGCCTTCAGCCTTTTCTCAGCCTTGTCTTCTTGCTGGGTCAAACAGCAACATAGCGACATTCATATCCATATATGCAGTGTTCCTGTGTTTGTGCCACGTTGAACATGATGTCAGCATCACTATGCCAATCACCTAATAAGACCCACTCATCACCTTGTTGGCCAGGTTCATTTTAATTGTCTCATGAGACAAAATCTACCACTCTGGATATCAACATGAATAAGCTTCAATCTATAAATATCTGACGCCTTGTAACTTTTCTTTATACCTGTGTGCAGTGTGGCCGTCTTTATTCTGCTTTCCTCCAGCGTTAAGAAGCAGCTGTTCTTCTCTCCAGTCGCGTCTCCTGTCCCAATATCACAGGTCACCACTATAATGGGACCCTTCGCCCCCTTCAGATGGATCTGGATGCTGTCCTGCGTGTACACACACACACACACATGAGTTAACCAAATGATGGCGCTTTTTTTGTCTACCTCCTGAATGTATTCACTACAGGAGAAGATCTACATGCAATATGACCTGTAATATCAACAATGTGTATATTTATCTCACAAAAATGTAATTATTACTGTCAGATATCTTTTAGAAAAGTGCAAGAAATGTGTATTTATCTTTTCAAAACAAAACCTTTGAATTAAGTTTTAAATTAGTAAAAATATATAAAAGTTAATTACTCAGATAATGTACTTCCTACTTCTTATACTGTCTTTGGTTGCGTACCTCTTTGGGTGCAGGAACCTCCAATTTGGTTTCCTCTGGAGCTTTGACAACAAACACTGTCTGCTCCTGCAAGGCAGCGAGCCGGCTGACGTCCTCGTAGGTCACGTAGGCCAACGTGAAGGAACGGTTAAAGAAAGCCTGCTTCATTTTTTATCCACATTTACAACAAGTCTTATTTACTCCCTAGTTTTAAGAAAACTTATTTCATGCCTACTGGCTTAATCTGATGTCTAATGACATATTTCTGCATTCTTGTCTGTCTGTGGTACATAATGTTCCACATTAATCTGAGGTATAAAATACAATGTCTAATATTGTTGGACAATAGAAGGAATGCAATAAGAACTGAGAATGGGTCTGTGGGTTCTGCTCATTTAAACCTGCAATAACTGATGTTTTGGCCACTTGGGGGCAGTAAAACAAGATTTAACAGTACACTGACCTATTATCACCATATACAGTTGGTATGACAAAGTTGTTAGCAACCTGTTGCCAAGAACATCCAGCAGTTATGGAGCAACATTGGCATTCATTTTGAATTTTGTTCAATATGTCCATGTCCAATATTCAATAGACTTTTAGCTCTGATTCAGTCTCCACCAGTAAAGTATCTTGCCCTTTAGCAGCTCAACGCTCCACTATGTTCTGTCTGCTGTTTGGTGCTGGGACAGGAGGCAATAATGCAATGATTAGCAAAGACACTGATATTTAAAAGTCATTATGTGGGCTGTATGGGCTCTTAACAAAATCAGGGTATGAGAAGCTCCTTGATTCAGGGGCAATAAATGATGAATGGATCGATGGAAATCCATTCTAAAAGTCAGGAGGGTCTAGATGACCAGCAGTACTACTGCTCCTCTAAGTCTGATGTGAAAGGATATGCAGCGTTTTCCAAGTCATCGGTCATGTCGAAGAGCTGCTGAGCGCAGCTTTTGATGAGGCTGTCCAGCGTGTCCTCCACCAGCTTCAGGTTGTCGAACTCTCTCTGGAACTTCTGCTCGTTCCTCCACAGAAAGCTGGAGATCTGACACCTTCCTCTGGGCGGACAACAAAAGAGCAGGTATAAGTGAGATCATAAAACACAAAAATATAAAAGCATAGATGCACAGAGAATATCTTCTCATCTGTTCACTCACATCCACTTGTATCTGTTGACCGACTGCTTCTCGACGAGGCTGATGCCTTCCAGGACGTTGGTGATGTCATAGACTCGTCGCCTGCGGGTTTGCAGGCTGGTGACCACCTGCCGGATGTCCACTGTGCTGTCTGGAGCCGCCAGCATCAGCTCGAGGAAACGCTGCGTCAGCATCCCCAGGGACACATCTGAATACAACACGACGGCCAAAGTTAGTGCTTTATAAACCTTTACTGTTTATGGTTTGCTTATCTGTGTGGTTTTCAAACAGGAACACAACATGTTCTCCCGTCTTCCAATTCAAACTTGTACGTACTCTCAAATATTGATACAAATATGCAACAGCTCCTACTGCTGCTAATTCACATTAAAAGTGTCCAAACTATCTGCCACTGCGCTTTGTGCTCACTGATTGATTAACTGATTGATCGAGTTAAACGACAGGAGCACTCACCATGTCTGGTGAATTTCTTGGTCTGGATCGTCTCTTTCGTCTGATTGACAACGATGCTGGGAAGAGACATCAAAATGTTACTCAACTTTGAGTTAAATTTGTAATTTCTGTTAAATCTTGGTGTGAAAACCAGGAGCAGAGTTTTTTTTTTTTTTACCCAGTTGTCTTGGACTCTGAGGTCTTCTTGGCTCCTGGATCCTGGAATTCAGAAAGTACAAACAGATCCGGTTAAAGCTGTAATTTAGATGATTGGTCACAGGCATGTTGTCAGACATATTGATAGTTGGTGTTTTTTTTAAGTCTGACGTGTTTGGGTTATTACACGTTATGTACAATCCTAACAGGAAGATCTTTTTTTGACAACCATACAAACCTTTTCTACTCATTTATGTCTACAGTCTCAGTTTTGAATCAACTCAACTTTAATATTAGAATAGAATATTTTTACTAAAATTTGCATCCATATTTTCTTGGAAATAAAATGCAATTGTAAACCAAAAAACAGAAAATGTTACCGTGGTTTGGATATCACACTGTAGCGCTTTGTCGTATTTCTGTGTAATAATACTTTTCAGTTGCGGCTAATGTTGGATGGTTTACAAATCCACATTTCTCCCTGCAAAATTAACCCCATAACACTGATATTCAACTGATTAGACTGAGAGGAGAATGACAACCTCAGTATCAACATATAATCAATATGAAGTGAATAAAAACACACAGAGATGTTTAATACACACTGAGTCACAAAAGAAAATATAATGAGAACCCCCTGACCTGCTGTGGTGGATCCACTGCAGCAGGTTCTGGTGCAGGAGGCTCCGCTTTAACAGGACCCTCATCTCCACCTTCGAAATCATCATCATCATCATCATCATCATCATCACCGACGCCTGTGGCCCACTGATCCTCTTCCTCAGATGACTCGGCTCCCCAGGGGCTAATCATGCCCAAGGGCCCATCCAGGCAGGGGGGCATGATGGGAATGGCGTCGCTGTTGACCCCACTGTTGGAGATGTCCTCCGGAAGGAAGTGGTCTTCGCAAATTAAATGCTGCTCTGTGGAGTCCTGCGTGTCCGTCTCCCTCAGCGCGGCCAGCCATACCTGAACAGTCATCAGTGTCAGCCTGCTGTGTTTATTGCTTACTGGTCTCTGATTACACTAAAGACACAACCGCACTGAAGCTTTAAATCCTCCCTAGTTTCAAAAACACCACAGCAATGTTTTTCTGAATCCATATCTCAGATTATTTCTACGGACGTGGCAAACACCGTTTCATGCACCACAGTAACACTTTATAGCTCTTCCTTAATCAAAGTTGCATTATTGTTGTCTGAAGAGTCCGGTTACAGTTTAAAAGACTATAAAACATCAGGGACTGGTTTTAAAACTCTCCTTGATGATGCATTAAAGTCCAAATCAGACACTTTATCTGGCCATGTTCACAGGATGTAACCATAGTTTCCTCATCATTCATTCATTATTTAGGGAACATTTGTTTTAACTAATTAAACGCTCTAAGCTAAATAACCACTCGAAACAAAGAATAAATATAATCCTAGGAGAAAGAGGTATATCTTGTATGTATCTATGTATCAACATGCCACAACCTGAGGGACACTGAACCACCTACACACACATTTAACGTTACATTACATCAGTCTACTTTATCATTATTGTTTTCTTACTAATCTGTATAGAAACATATGTTGCACCTGCTTTGGCAATGTCATTAAACGTGTGTTTCAAGCATGATCCAGTTTAAAACGCGGTACAAACACATGGTTTTCACGAGGTACAGGGAGGAAGAAGGGCTGTTTTCATAAATGATTTATGTATTTGTTTATTTAATCTATTTATTTTCTTTTATGTAAATATGTATGTTGGGGAGAAGCGGTAGCTTTAAATATGCTTCATCCTACTCCTTTTCGGACACGTGGGTTCACATTATTGCTTTTGTTTTGACTATTGTTATTGNNCTATTTTCATTGGATTTGTTTGTTTGTTTGTCAGTTCACTTTGTTGTGTTACTCGCACATGTTCGAAATAAAATAAATAAATTTAAAAAAAAAGGTAAAAACAGGTCCCGTTTGTAACTCAAACTTTAAAACATCTCTGACCAGATCCAGCTGTTTATGTAACGTTAATGAACGAAAAACGACACAATTAACCGGATAGTAAACTAACGCTGTTTCCACGGTTGTCACTCATATTACAACATACATAATCAACATTAACCCTTTATTTCAAGTGACACAACCGGCTCGTTGCTGGTTAAATCCACATGTCCGTACCTTAACTCGTGCTGGGTCTTTGGGGAAGTTGAAGAACCTCTTCGGGGTTCGGCTGAAGATGCTCCGGTTACCGTTCACGGTGGCCACGCGGTTCGGACAGCCAGAGACGACACACTTCACCATGCTCACCGGCACTGCTCCTCCCGGTGGAGCCCCGTTAATAACCCTCTGGGTTCAAAACGACCGACACAAAGACAACGGTCCGGTTTGTTGTTGTTGTTGTTGTTCTCCGGTTGCTTGTCACACCGGAAGAGGTGTGTTTTTGACCCGGAAATACAACAATGCAGGGAAACAGCGTTGGCGCCAATTCTGCGCCCTCTACCGGACACATTGTGTGTTTTTATTGTTTTGTTTTCATAATTATTGTTACAAACATTTACATGTTCACAAATTAAAATGTAATCATGATTTACTGATTTACTTCTACTTCTTACAAAGGCAGTCTAAAAATTATGTTTTTTTTATCATGGCCTTTAATTTTGAGGAACATGATGGCATAAAATAAATAAAAAACTAAAATATTATTAATAGTTTTACACTCCCTTTCCTTTACAATTATTTAACAAAAAAGTAAAATATTATTAATAGTTTTACACTCCCTTTCCTTTACAATTATTTAACAAAAACAGACTTTTCTGCTGGCATCACAGCGATTAACTGTCTCCACTAAAATATCACTCATTTACATCAAAATTCAGGTATTTGGTCAAAAATATAAAAATATTTATAAAAATATATGGTGATATTTGTCAATAGCTGCATTGAAATTGAATTGAATTTACATGTTTATACATTTAAATTAAATTATGATTTACTTACAAAGGCAATCTAAAAATATTTAGTTTTTTCAATATGAGATATGATGGACTAAAATAAAAAATATATATATTTTTTTTAATTATTATTATACAAAAACAGACTTTTCTGCTGGTATCACAATGAGCATCAATAGATTATATATCAATACAAATTCTATAGACATCAAAACTGAGGTATTTGGTCAAAAACATGTTTTGAATTGAAATTAACAGCTACCCCGAAAGAAAAAAAAATACATTTGACATTAAAAAATAGATGTATTCCCAAATGAACGATCATTATTAACTTTCAATTCAAAACAAGAACAGGTCGTAAAACAGTGTTGCAACACAAGATTTATTCAGAGCAAGAGATGCCAACACCAGCATGATAAAAATTGTACAAACTTCACAAGTCAAATTAAAATATCACGTAGCAACTCGTGACCTTAAACATACAGCAAAAATACCAACAAAACCCATGCCATGTGGTAAGAAAACTGTTGTTGAAAGTTTTGCAAGTAACAGAGAAAAAGGGGTAAAAGGAGAGAAAATGAATGTTGTATAAAAACCCCTTATCAATGCACCGCTGAAAAGAAACTGTAACATTTTCATAAACTGATGATTTCACAAATATTCATATGGTTTTCTTTTGCATTCTAGCATGTCACATGTTAGTGTTGAGATTCTCTATGTAAATAGTTACAGTTTAGCTTTTACATCTGATATTACAATATCTAGTCTATTGACTGTCTTTAAGTGGCAGAATTGTGCTTTAACTCCCATTTCCTTTGTTATCAGTAAGAATAACTGACTAAATAAAAAATACAAGCTGTCAGTCTATCTAATGCAGTAGTTTACTGGCAGGAAGCTGCAGACACAAAGCTTTGGACAGAGATGTGAAGTCAGGGAATGAGGCTTTGCAGCAGAAGTCCAAAAAGAAACATCTTTAAAGGAAAACTCCCCATTAGCTGATTTTTTTCCCCCTTTCTGTGGAAAACTGGACTGACAGCAGAGAAATGTTTCAGTCATATCAAACGGTGGGTAAACATGAGGTTTTAGGGGTCCTGAGTCACCAATCAAATGGTTGGGATTTGGTTTATAGATGGTTAACTCTAGATTTTCCCCTTAAATGTTTTTACAGATATTTTCCACACAGTCTGACATTATCACATTGGAGCTATATTAGGCTTAAATTGAGTGAAAGTGTGTAATTCAAACCCAAAGTGGCACGTTTTAATGCCTTTTTAACAAATATTCTTGATGTATTTATGACTTTACTCTTCTGACGTAAATCTTACAAATTTTATATATTTGGAAAGTTCAATTTAAAGGGTTAGTTCACCCAAATGTTCTCCCTTCCACCTAATGGTATCTAGCCATGCAGGTAGTTTTGGTTTTATTTGAGCAGTTTTTGAGATCTGTCTATTTCTGCCTCCACTCAAATACAGTTGGGGGGTAAAGCAAGTTTGTCTGTTCCTGTTCCAAGTCTTCCAAGAAGGGTGTCTTCTTCTTACTCTGGATAATACATTTACCTTAGTGAATGAGTTTTAAACTACTTCCTATTCAACTCATGGTCGCTTTGAAAACTAGGGATGCAGCTGAACTTGTGCGATGACAAAATCACGAGAGAATCCGTTTTGCAAGACTTCAAGCTATGTGGTTCGAACCAATCAGCGTCCTCTGAGGAACTACTGTCAGCTACGGCATGAGCTACGAGATGTGACTGTTTTCTTGAAAAAAGCAATGGCAGCTGAGGTTAGCGTAGATGCTGCTGGCATCAGTTACATCAGAACTGGAGAGTATTTCTTTGAAAAATAACGGCACTGAAAGCTGGATGGAAACGGAACTTTCGCAAAACCTTGGACACCAGAAATAACTCTTCTCATTTCACAGCTCTGTTGACAGGTTGTAAAAAGTTGCTTTTACAGAGAGAAACAGGTCTCATGTTAACCAATGCAACGATGCATTCATGTTTTGTTTTTTGCTAAATTGTGTTAAAAACAGCATTTATCAGAGTTTTCTTGTGTGGATCAGAATTCTGTTTTTGATATGTCTTTTAAAATGGATTGGATGTTACAAAGCGGAGGGGGTTAACAGAGTAAGGGGACCAGAGGGGGAGTTTTCCTTTAAATAACAAATCAACTCAGTGAAATTTGCTCCAGGTGGCTTTCAAACAGGAATCACCAGCACAAAGTCTTGTCGAAGTCACAGTTTCCACAAACTCGCTGTACAGTTTTTGCTTCATTTACCACGTGATAATACTTTGACATACTCCAATAAAGTGCATGCATGATCGACGGTGTTCAGAAAACATATTCCATCAGTACTGTGATTTCAGACTGAATGTCATCGTAAAGCCGATTCAGATCAAATACTCAGTCGGTAAATTCAGTGCACAGACATCGCGTTACGACTGCTGGCTCTAGTTTTCATTCATCTTTTCAATAACAATCAAAAGCTAATTAAAAAAGTGCTGCTTGGTCATCATGTCGTCTGGCATCATGTCCCATTGTGGCTCAGACAATAAGATGCATGATTGGAAAGACGTTTTCTACAGGACGAGTGCAATATACAATGACGGATGGGGACGTTTGACCCTGTAAGTCCAGTGGAGCCGTCAGCCTTTAGAAAGGAAAATCATATCTACAAATCCTTTCGTCTGCCAAGTGCCTCTTAATCGACAATAAAAACATCAAAACATGGAAACAAAGGTGTCCCTGTGCAAAGTCGAACATGACAGAACCAAAGTCCTTTCACCCGCGTCAGATTCCTAAAACATGATTGTAGTAAAAGGTTTATACAAAACGCAATACATTTATAGTTAGTAAAAAGATCTATCAGCTCTTTGCTAGTTTTATTCATAAGAAATTGCATATACCCAAACATTTTTTTTTTCATATAGATTGCATCCCATATCTAAACAAACGATTTAATATTATCATACCAATATTGCTGACACGTTGTCCTATTAGCTATTCAAGGTTGATGATTAAAAAGAAATTCAGAATGGCAGATTGTCTCCTACATTTTCTGAAGCCAAGGGTCTTCCCGCTTCGTTCTTCGCATGAACAAAGAAAAGCGACAGAACAGGACAGTTTGAAACGAAACAACTCTGAAAAAGGGGGATGATGGGATTTTGCACCAGTAAGTTTCCGTGTCATGATGTTTGAAATCTTCTTGCTTATAGCATTGGTTCTTCTTATAATTTTAGCCAAAGATTTACAGTAATAATAGTGTCCACGCGGTCCACTTTCAAAACATTACAAAAATGAATGAATTCACATCCATTTAAACGACCTCCAGCTTTACAGCTCGTGAGAGAAGCCTTTTGAAAATGATTGCTCTTCACGTTCGCAGCTGTGCTCCCCATTAAACCCGTGACGCCCAGTTTTTTTATGTATGTAAATCGCATTGAAATTAAAAAAAGAAAATGATTCAAGCTTACGATAAATAAATACATACATATACACTAGAATGTGCATACATTAGCAGCTATAAACAGTACATCACATTATATTAGATCATATGAAAATGTACAAAACGTGAATGTTTGTTTAAAATGTTGGTAATTGTTTTTCAAAGCAAGGCAACAACAATCAAAATAATAAAAATAAAAAGAGATACCCATGGAGTTGAGAGCATAACAGCAGAAGAAATAAAAGAACTATGGTAGATTACAGCAGCAAAAAACAACCAATTCCCCTCTTTTTGACTTTTTTTTTTTGTTGTTTTTGCTTTGCATTTGTTATTTTGGCCTTGATCAGGGCTAGACCTGGATACCCTGAACGGCCTGTTTGATGTTCTCCAGCAGCGCCTTGTTCTCCGGGCTCTGGTACTGGTCCTGGTGAGTGTACATGTCTGTCAATGTACTCACATAAGTGTCAAAGTTCTGTTCATTCATTGGCTCCTGTGAGGGGAAAGAAACCCATGAAGAAACAAACAATCAGACGGATTAGAGTAGGTGTGTGTGTGTATTTATAGACAGTATATTAGACATTGTGGGAAAGGTTTGGAAGACAGGCGAGCAGCAAGGGAGGGAGGGACCACTATCAGGAAAGCATGGCTCAGATACACAAACTCACTGAAATACTCCTTTTAATTACATTTTAATAATATGACTAATATCTACACTTCAGCCTGTGAAGATCTACGCAGTGCAACTCCAAACCATGCAAAAATCAGGAGAGGGATGGTTAGCTTGTGGATAGATGGAAGATTAATGTTTGGCATATGGAGACAAAATCAGGATGTTAAAAATCAATGGGAGTTTAATGGGGAGATGAAAGAGACACTGGTAATTCAGCTTAGCCTAGCAAATCTGGGAGTTTGGTCGTGTAAGTGTTTCTGAGAGACCGAGCAGCTTTGGCTTCAACAACAATCTTATTGGTTGAGTTCAATCTCAGTGGGCAAAGCAAATAAGCGTTAAGTGTTTTACTAAGTTCCACTGTACATGTGG